AGAGGTAAATTTATAATTGTACTTATAACTGCTGTAAAGAAGATCGGAAGCTACTTCTTTGTATCTTTTTTCTTTCTTTTCCTTTTCTTTTTCTTACTTTATAACTTCCTTTTTAAAAATTTTTAATAAAGTGTGTGTGTGTGTGTATGAAGCTGAAACTTTCACAGACCCTCTGTTATTTTCCTCTTTCTGTCATTAAAGCTATTTCGCTGGATGTGTACTGGAGAATAAGATCCCATGCTTAATTATGATCCAAATGAAGAAGTTAAATTATTTTTAGGCTGCCATCGTAGAAATACACTGGTGGGAGGAAAGCAGGCTTACTAGTCCTGTTCTCCACCTGAGTTAAGCTCGTTGCAGGTTTATTTGGAATGGGAGCGTCCTGCGCCGCTCCCAGGCTCTAAAGGAGACAGCGGGAGAGTTGTACTTTCAGACTTGGTGTAGCCTTACAATAAAGTAGAATTTGCACGCCTGGTCGTAAATTATAAATTAGGGAGGGTCCTTTCTGAGCCTCTTTCTCCTCCCATTATGCAGCTGCAGGCTGTGCAAGATGGGTGGTTGTCTGGCTAAAGGGTGGGGCTCTTTCTTAGCCCAGCCATCCTCACAGGGCTGTTGTTGTGGCAGAAAATAGAAGGGAGTGTTATATAGTATATGCCACCTGGAGTCCCGGAATGAAAGGTGGACGTAACTTTAATAAACACTTAAATAATTTCAGTCCTGACACTGAGTAGGGGCTGAACCCAGCTGAGCCCTCCTAGCTGTGCTTCTGTTCCTCTCTTTCTTCTACCTCCTGAGAAGCATTTTGTGTCCTCCCCTCTTTCCCTCAGGGAAGGTTGAGGTCCTCTGAGCCCAGAATGGGACCCAGCTCACCTTCCCTCATGCCAGGTGGCCTTGCCAAGAGCTACAGCTTCGGGGGCCCAATGAAGAGGCTCTCTGTCCTTGTTTCTCGTAGCTACAAAGTGCTCCTTGGTCCGGTGATTCCACCTTCCCAAATCAGCTTGGGCTTCTCTCACGAATCGGGGCCCTCACCCTTCAGCTGTATTGGAAATGGTCTGTCCTTCTGCTCTCGCCTTGCCAGGCCCCATTCCGTCAAACCAATGCTTACTCATGGCCTCCGATGCCCGTTTAGAGTTCAGGGCTTTCCCTCAGTGTCTTCTGGGTGGCAGTTGCATGTCCAGCTTTGCCAAGAGTGCTCCCTGACCTGGGCCGACTGGGCTCCCACCGCAACAGCCAAGCAGCTTTCTCTGGATCATCCCTGCTGGAGCTCTGCTGAGCACCTCTGTGGGCTCAGCCCACCATTTTCATCCAACATTACAGGCTGGGCCTTCACTCCCCAAGAGAAGGGTCCTCCACTCCTTGGTCCTCTGATGAGGATGAGACCATCCTCCTGTCACGGGTGTGTGAGTCACCAGGAGCCTGATGTTGAGGACCTGTCACTTGGAATGGCACCAGGATGATACCATGTCACCTGTCACTTGGGATGGTGCCAAGTCAAATGGTATTCCTGGGAAGGAGCTCCCCGCAAGCTGTTCTGAAATTCTAGAAGGCTCTGAAGGGACTCTGCAGAGGTATGAAACCCATATATGTGAATTCGCAGACCACCATTCCAAGATCTTTTCTGAAGACCTGACCGGTTCTTCCAGAGCATCAGGCACTCAGCCTGAAGCCTTGTCCCCTTCCTTTCCCTGCTAAAATATAGGAGAGGGAAGAAACGGCTGTAAGCTGTTAAAGAAATAGGGAGGTTTCCCAGGCCATGGCAGCTGGAAGGAAAATCAGCCGGGAAGGAATTCATCAGGACGTGGGGGTTGGAGACAGCACGTCTCTGCCTGTTTCTCTCTGCCTAGCAGCCACTGTGCACGGGAGAAAGTTGGTTTCCCATGGTGGAAAACGGTCCCCAGGAGTAGTGGAGCAAAGGTCTGGGAAGGAGCTGCCTGGGGGCTGCAGCCCCCATCCCGGGGTTCATTCACCCCTTTTTCAAAGATGCTGCTTCTGCCTTTCCAGGTGTCGACAGGAAGGAAAAAAGTCTTCTGCACTCAGCTGAACTTCAGCCAGAGAATTTAGCTTCGTTAAAATATTTATACCTCACCTTTTCTCATAGTTCAACCCTCAAATTAATAGACTGTATCAGCAGAAACTGAATCAGCTTTTTAAAACCTGTCACTTTCCTCTGTTAGTCATAATGAAATAAATATTAGCTAAAGCAAAAATGCAAAATGGTAGTTTCTTGGAATGTGTGGGTTAAGTAAGAAAAAGATGAATTTTTTAAAAATACGAACAACTCTGTAAAGTATTTTCAGCTCAGGGGAGTTTTTGCTAAGGATTCTCAAGGAGACTTATTTTTTGGTGCTCTGAAATAATAGGACTTGCCCTAAGGAACAAGCAAGATGAGGCCAGAGACATTTTGGGTAGCTGAGGCTGCGGTGCCAAATCACTCCTTTATCTGCAGCCCTTGGGCTAGCAGGTGGGCTGGGGGTGGGCTGTTGCTTCTCTCTCTCCCTCCCTCTCTCTCTCACACACACAACCCTCCCTCTGCCCCCCTCCCCCCACCATTCCCTCTTCTGCAGCTGCTTTGCACACTGGTCTCTGGGCCTGCTCCACCCACAGAGAAATGCCTGTGTGTGCCTGTGTATGTGTGTGTGAGATCCCAGGAACTAGAGAACTCTGTACTTCTTTCCCTGGGTCTTACTCCTTGGTGAGCTGCAGCATTAGCGCCAGTGATTCAAGTTGAAATTGCTGCACCTCTTTTAATCCTGCTTTCTCGTTTCCTCCCCGCCTCAGAATCATTTACTGCAGATCATAAGCCTCTCCTAGGAGAAGCACCTGAACTCCGTGGCTTTTTCCTGGGATGTGGCTTCAACAGTGCTGGTAAGAGGCAACCACCTTCGCCCCTAAACTAACATTAGCAACCCTGAAAGGCACGATGGTTCAGGAAACGTGGACGTGCTTGGCTTCTGGCATGGAAGCTGCTTGGCCTTAGCCCATACGATGAGGAGACTGGCCAGTGGAACCAGGTTGCCTCTGGGCCAAGCCACGGGCTGAGGACACTCTGGTTCGGGCAAAGAGAGTGGAGAGGAGGAGGGATCAATGGTTTAAAGACTCCTCCTCTCCCGAAAGACCCCCCCTAACTTGAGCACGGGAGAGCTGTTCAGTTCTAGTAAGATCTGCTCTGAGGGAACGGGGTTGTTTTTGGAGAGGCCATTTTGGCTGAGGAGTTCTCGCATCCCAGAACAGCGTGATAGGTGAGGGCACCATGAATACGGCAGCATAGAAATGCCATATGAAATAAATGCATGGGGTGTAGATTCAAGGCGTAGCAGGGCGAGTCACTGGGTGACCTTGCGCTTCTCCCTGTTGATCAACCCAACCCAACCCAATCCATCCACAGCCTTGTAAGTGACATGGAGCCCAGAGCTGCTTCTGGTGCAAAGATCTCACCCAATCCAGCACCTTCTCCCTGGCAGAGGATCTGAGAAGCCACCCCCTTTCCAAAGGCCTTGCCATGCAGAAGAATCCCTTGCCTTTGACCGGTTCTGCTGCCTTACCATCCTGCTTCCTACCCTACACTCTGGATGGGGTGAAGGACTGGGTACAATACGGATCTTCCTGGCATTAAGGATCTTGGTGTTCACTCATGGGGGTCTCCTCCAGTTTCCTCAGCCCTCATCTGAGTTTCTGGCTCATTTTACTTCCTGCGGATTCTGGTTCTTCAGATCACCATGTAGCCTTGAGAGAAAAGCCTGCTGCCTTTAAAGGTCACATTTAAATAAATTTGCAAGCTGTAAGGGCCTTTCTAAGCCAATAAGCAAGTGAGGCCCTGCAAGATTTGCAGAGAAAATAGCTTTCTTCCATGTGTGAGAAAACAGAAGTTCTGTTGTCTATGGCAACAGTAGTTGTCCAGCAAGAGAACTGCCCTGAATTAGAAACAAAGAATGGTAGAAGATGTATTTTATTAAGGAGCACCTCTGCATGCCATCTGACTTCTGGCCCTCCTTTTCCACAGGAATGATGCTTGGGGGCGGCTGCGGGAAGGAACTGGCCCACTGGATTGTCCATGGTCATCCGGAGAAGGACATGTTCAGCTATGATATTAGGTGAGCAGCAGCGGCTTGCTGTTGGCAGGGGCAAGCAGCCTTGGGATTACATCATAGTCCAGCAGCGAGAGAAAGGTGGTCTGATAAATGCTCTTGGTTTGCTAGGAGAGGCGAGGGCTCTTCCTCACGGTTCATGAGTTCTTGAGTAGACAGGCGCATTTCCACTGCACCAGCAGCCAAGCTCTAGCAAGGCTGCAGATGGTCCTGTTCTCACAACAGTTTGCAGGGCAGTTTGAGGCCAGCAGTGAGTAGATTCTTTTGTTTCCCAGCCTACCTTGTGCCACCAGCTGGTGGGAAAAACCACCCCTTAACGCACGGCCGGGTGGGCAGTTGCGTATGGGTGCCTGGGGCAGGGGCTTCAGCCACATTTCGAACTGCGCAAGTAATAGGTCATGCCTGAAGTGCTCAATGCCCATAATCTGTCATTCTGAACACGGGTCTACTGGTCTTCTGGAAGACCGGTTAGCAGGATGAACCCCAAGTGGTTCTTGCTGTGCTTGGAAGAGAAGCAGAGAAGGCGAAAGTGCATGAAGAGGGTGGTGGGATCAGAACAAAATGCGGCCATTTTGGTTTCCAAATGGCAAACGTGCTTCTGCATTGCTGGATCTGTTTCCAGCGCTGGGAATGAGGGAAAGATCAGGATCGTTGCTTGGTGGTGACCACGGTGCCTTCCCCGAACTTTTCCAGGTCCTTTTAAAGCTGTCCCAGCAGTGGTAGGAAAGACGGCCCGCTGTTTTTTTCAGCTCAGCTTTGACAGTTCAAGTAGATTAAACCATTTAAGTCTCCAGTCCCCTTTGCTGCCCCGATGCCTGTCTTCCCTCCGGCTCCCTACTAAGCCTCCCCCCAGCCATCCTCTGGGATCTGGTTGCCAGAGGGCTCTGTCCCCCACACTTCACCCGTGTCACGGCCCTGTTGACGCCAGCTGGTGGCCCCAGGAGTGCTCTCCTCAGCTGCTCCCCCTTGAGAGTCCAGACCTGGCTGCGACCCGAGGCAGCCCCCCCTCCCCCAATGCGCTGACACCCAACTCGGCTTTTCAGGAGGTTCCACCGCTTCCTCACGGGCAACGGTCGCTGGATCCGGGAGCGGAGCCATGAGTCCTACGCCAAGAACTACTCCATCGTGTTCCCCTACGATGAGCCCCTGGCTGGGCGAAACCTGAGGAAGGACCCTCTGCATGAGGTGAGGCCAATGCTGCAGGGGCGCAGAGGTGAGGGGGTCTTCCTGGAGCAGAGGAGCCATTGCAGGCCCCCTGCCATCCCTTAACAGGAGCTGCTGCCCTTCGTCCACCCTCAGATGCCTCGGGCAAAGATGCAGTTGCCAATTGGCTCAATATCACTACTAGCCACAATGCCCTGAGGCACTCTTCCCATGCTCAGAGATGCTCTTGTCTGGCAGCCCAGGTCCCAAGGCACCTCAAAAAAATGGAGCAAAGGACTTGCACTCTGGAGGGCATCTTCTGAACCCAGGAGCCCCCTGCCCCTGGGTGCTTGGCCATCAGCCCCTTCCCACCGCCAGCAAGAGCCTGGGTCAGCTGAGGCCAAAGGGGAGCTGAGAGAGAAGGGCGCACCTTCAGGATCCCAGAGCCGCTTCATCGGTCCTGCAAAATGTGGGAAAGCAGAAGACAGACCTCTTCTGGAAAGGACCACCAAGGGCTGAGCTGCAGCGGAGGGGCCGTATTTCACAAGCATTTCTGCCCCCTCCAGCAAAACGGTTCTTCCCTCCCCCCGCCTTTTGACAACTGATCATAGCTTTCTGAAAAAGGGCAGAGTGTTGGGGGAAATCCCATTGCCAAGGCAACCCAGCCCTGGCACCGCATCAGGTACCCACATCTGAGTGCTTGTGGGAGGCTGGCAGATGAAGGGGTTGGCATTTGGTTCTCCCTCCATGATGCCACCTGCACCCCAGGTTTATTTTCTTTACACAAAAAGCATGTGTTTCTGCCCTTCTGTTCTCCTGGCACGTCACTCAAGGTATAAACTTCGCAGAAAACGTGTCGCAGCTCTGAATACCCTTATCTGTTGCTCAGTTCTGAGCAGAGGAGTTGGGCATTTGTACTTTTAGCAGCCTGTCGGAGCAGAACACCGGGAGCCCGTTCACTTCTGCCTCCGGAAGACACTGAGGTGGCCTCGTCTTCTCCAGGCCAGGAGGCCCAGGCACCTGGACAATTCCCAGTCCGCTGTACTTGGGGTTTCCTCTAGACGTAGCTCTCAGGTTCCCCAGTGAATGGTAGCAGGAAACAGGAGTGCTCGGTATGGAGAGCCTATGAGCCACGTGGCCCACAGCAGCTAGGAGCCCCTGCCCGCCTCGTCTTCCTGGCGTCGCCTGATTCATGCAGGTGCTTGAGGACTGGTAGTGTTCTATGTGAGCAGCCTGGTGATTTCTCCTGCAGACTGGAAGAAACCAGTTGCTGGGGCAAAGGATCCCCACACCAAGGGAGCAAAGCCATTCAAAATGCCTAGTCAGCCTTCTGGAGGTGAAATCTCCAGCTAGCTGTCGCAAAATGTGAGATGCAGCTGAGTATTGAAACAGTGCCAGGGAGAGGTGGGGCTCATGGGGCAGGATGCTAGATGGGACCAAAAAGAGTCTTCAGGCATGAATTTTCACCAAGGAGGACCTTTCTCAGCATCTTTCTTGGAGGAGCGTGGGTGCTGCGTGGCGTCCTAACCCCGCTTCCCCCCTCCCTGCAATCTCTGTGACCTCACAGGAGCTTCTGCTTCAGGGTTGCGTCTTTCAGGAGCGACACGGGTGGGAGAGGCCAGGCTGGTTCAACCCATTGGGCAAAGCGCCGGTAAGCCTTGGACGAGTCTGTTCCATTTCCGGGCTGGGTGAGCTTTTTTACTTTGGGGTCAGTTGGGGGGCCTTCTGAAGCCTCCACAAGTGTCTCCAGCTCTCCTTGGATGGGCAAGAGAAGGTGATCCTGCAGTCTGTAAAGGGGTGGGACAGTGGCAGCAGCAGCGAGGGACACACTCGGGAGATGCCTAGCACCCCATGAAATGCAGGGTGTCCACCAAAACACCAAGGGGCTGCTCTGAGGGAGGGCAGCCAAGGCCTCGTCTGGTCAAGCCTTTGGGGTCACGGTGGCCAGCCAGGAGGGGCGGTTGTCCACTTCCACTACTATACCCTGCTGGAATTATTTTGGATAAACTGTGGGTGATTCAGCCCACCAGCAGTTGGTAGCTCTGCCTCCCATTAACCTTCTGGTCCCACAAGATGGGCCTTATAAACCAGTCTGTTCCACAGAAGAGAGGGCCGGGTCTCCTCTTGGTCTTGAATCAAGCTCACAGCAAATGATGGCAGCCTTAGTTGATCTCTAAAAGCCTGAGCTGGGCCAGGCCTGATTAGCACTTGGATGGGAGACCACTCGGAAATCCCAGGATTGTAGGCTAGAGTGGGAAGAAGGCAGTGTCTGACACCACTTGGCGTCCAGGAGCTGAGCTCAACTCAGAAGAGACTCAGTCAGGTTAGACCCCCACCAGCGCATCCTGGCCATTGCCAGCTTTCCCCTCCACGTGTGCCCAGCCGCTCATTCCTCCTGCCACCGCTCACTCCCTCCTCCCATTGACTTCTCCATACCCCTTGTAGCACAATGTTTGGCTCCAACCTCCACGCAAACCATCTCCCCATGGCATCTTTGCCAGGGGAGGAGGCTGATGCTTGCTGTTCATGTGCCAATCCAGGTGCTGGATTATAACTACTACGGTGCCTATGGCCACCCTGCCCGTGAAGAGGACGCCTACCGCCAGTTGCTGTCCAATGAGTACACCTTCGATTTCCCACCTCATCACAACATTGTGAGTCGATGAAGGCCAAGGCGTCCCCAGTGCTCAGGAGAACTCAGCGGCTGGGCCTTCTAGGGGGCAAGTCAGAAGCCACGCAAAGCCATGCTGAGATTCACCAGGCGGGCAAAGGATACTTACCAATAGAAGCGAATATATGTAGCTCAGGGCTGAATTGTGGAGTCCTTGGGGTTCTCTGAGCTTGGTTGTTTTCTTGCAAACATTTTGTTACCCAGCTAGGTCACATCTTCAG